TCACCATAGCTTTGGCAGATGTTAGATCAGCATATTGCCTTTAAAATTGTTGAAAGAGGTGCGCCTGGGTGGCTCAGTCGTTAGGCGTCTGCCTTCAGCTCGGGTCATGATCCCAGGGTCCTGGGATCGAGCCCCACATCAGGCTCCCTGCTCGACGGGAAGCCTGCTTCTCCCTCTCCCACTCCCCCTGCTTGTGTTCCCTCTCTCACTGTCAGATAAATAAATAAAATCTTTTAAAAAAATTGTTGGAAGGAACTAGAAACTCCCAAATGCCCATTTATGGTAAAAATGGGTAAATAAATTGGAGTACATTTACACAAAAGTATACAGTGCCATAATGAGAAGGGGATGTTTACAACTACAGACAAAAATCTGGATGAAGCACACAAATATAATACCGGGCAAAACAAGTCAAACACAAGATAATGCACTGTGATTTTATTTGTGTACATTTATTGTATTTCCATAAATCTATATAAATAAATTTATATCTATTCATACAAAGTTTATAAATGAGCAAAACCAGATGATGATAAAACTCAGGAAGGTCACTACACTTGGCAGGGGGCAGTGACTGCAGGGGGACCCCTAGAGGATCTTCTGGGGAGCTTGTCATATCCTACTGCCCTACCTGGGTGCCGGTTACAAGAGTGTCTTCTGTTTAGTGAAAATTCATCAAGTTTATAATGCTTTATACATTAATGCTTTATACATTTATAATGCTATAATACATTATTCTTCACTGAAAAGTTAATTTAAAAAATTGCTAAAAGGACGCCTATCCACAGACGCCTTTGGCTGTTCACCTACCATCCATTTTTCTCTTCTTTGATAACAGAATCTCCCTTTTATTCAGGGAGCAGCCCCTTTCCTCCCGCCTACACTACTCAGGGGACTTTCTGATCTCAATCTCAGAACACGAACCCTGATTGGTGCAAATCAACCATGTGAATCCATTTCCCCTGGCCTGTGATTGGTTTAGGAAAGGACATGTGACCGAATTCTGACCAATAGGTATGAAGGGAATTCTTCTGGGGCTGTTTCTGGAAAAGTGTCATCTTTCTCTAAGATACTCACTACAGTCGTTGATCTTGAGGATGGTGAACCCACACGAAGGAGAACCAAGAGAAGCAGAAAGAAGTGGAACTGGAGACCTGACAGCCCTTGCCTGGAGCTGTCCTTACCTATATTTCTTGGTATGCAAAATCAAAACCTACTTAAGACAGCATGAATTTTCTCTTGTTGCCAAAAGCAGATTGACTAACAGCATCATTTTGGAAAATATACTCAAAATTGCCCCTCAGCTAGCATTCTGCTCTATTCCAGATTTTTCCCTTAATATTCCAACTTTGAACTATCTCCGTTACCTGCAATTATGTCAGTATTATTTGCCCCTGTTTTGCACCACACCACCCATCTTGTACTTGCTTACAGAGAGCAGTCAAAGCTGGGCTAAGTCCACATCTGTCACAGCACACTGGATATTAATCTTAGATTGGTGACCACCAAGAAGAAGAGATGAATCATTGGTGAGGTCAATGGCCCCAAACCTGGCACCCCAACCTTTGTAGAATGTCCCCCCAAATTGTTGTGAGGAGTTGTAAATGGCTGAGCGCAAGGGAGATAATTATGATGAGTATCAATATATCAATCTGTCTACCCAACAGCCAGTTCTCACCCCCTTTTCCTTCTGGACAGAGACTGCACCCCACAATAGAGACGAAAAATGCCAGAAAACAATTTTTCCGGCTTCTCTTGCAGCAACGGGCATTAGGACTCTCTCCCACTGAGACCCAAAGAGAAGTCTGCAGAGGTGTGTGTGTGTGTATGTGTGTGTGTGTGTGTGTGTGTGTGTGTGTGAGAGAGAGAGAGAGAGAAAGAGGGAGGGAGGGAGAGATGGGGGTTAGGGAGGGATCCTGGAGAAGAACTTTCTTTCCTTATAAAGAGAGCTCTGCTAGGAGAAGGTCTCCTTCCTGACTTTTGTCACAGTTGTGTGAGGCTGTGATGGCTGAAACTGTGGCAGCCATTTTATACCCAAGAGGTTACAAGCTTGAAGAAAAAAATCGGACATATTTTCTTACCCTTGCTAAAATGTAAGCTGAAGGAAGGCAGAGATTTTTTAAAAAATCTGTTTTGTGAATTACCCTATCCCAAGTGACTAGACTATTACCTGGCTTAGTATATCATCATTGAGTACATGAATGAATGTGAGGATGTTAGAGAAGAAAGATGGAAAGAACCTGGACCCCCAGTGACGTCACTTAAGACATCACACTGACCATGTAACTGTCCTTGCCTTGAGTTTCTTGTTATGTGAAATACTAAATGTCCTTATTATGTAAGTCACTTTTAATCCGGTGTTTTGTTACCGATAAAATTCCCTAACGTAATTCCTTTCCTAGAATGTTCCATTTCTGGGGCACCTGCCTGGCTCAGTCAGTAGAGCATGTGATTCTTGATCTCAGAGTTGTCACTTCAAACCCCACCTTGGGCCTAGAGCTTACTTAAAAAGAAAACGTTCCATTTCCAAGATATTCCCTGGAGTGACTTTCTGTGTCCACTCCTGACCACCGGGAGTATGTATCTCGGGGGTTGAATCCACAGGTGAAGATCTTTACGTTGCAATCCTCTCATTTTATGGATGGAAAAACTGAGGTCCAGAAAGAACTGTTTTAAGAGTTTGCTCAGGCCTGTTTCATTGACTTCCATGCCCACAGCCTTCTTAGGGGCACTGCCCTGCCCGCTGCAACTGGTGAAGGGACGATGGGGGGATTCAGGGTGTACTATGTGGCCCCGCCTTCCTTGGCCACAGCTGATTGGACCCAGAGTCGGCACCTGACCCATAGGCAGCCAATCAGGACTGAAGAAACGCCAGTAACTGGAGCTAGTTATCAGGGGCGTGCTATTGTAGGCCACATGCCCCCCAAATCTGAGGAGGAAATAGAGGATGCCCCTTGGAGAAAATGAGAAGAGGGAGACGTGAAAGGTCACTGCAGGAAAGAGAGCGAGAGGGATTCCACAGGCAGCTAGCTGCTTCTGGGCTGACATCTGACCATCCCAAGTCTTGGATATTCTTTTGATAACCGACTTCCCTTTTCTCCTCTGGCCAATAAGCAGCCCCTTTGCGTCCTCCACCAACAGGCGAATGATCTTCTTACACAGAAATCAGATCATGTGGCGGCGCCTGGGTGGCTCAGTCGGTTGAGCATCTGCCTTTGGCTCAGGTCATGATCCCGGGGTCCTGGAATCGAGCCCCGCGTCGGGCTCCCTGCTCAGCGGAGAGCCTGCTTCTCCCTCTCCCTCTGCCTGCCGCTCTACCTACTTGGGCTCTATCTTTCTGTCAAATAAATAAAAACCTTAAAAAAAAAAAAAAAGCAGGTCATATTGCCATCTGGCTTAAAAAACTCCAATGGCTTCCCAATCTCTTAGGGAAAACCATGAGGTTCCAGGTACATTGGTCTTCTTTCTGTTCCTGGGAAATGCCCAACCTGTCCCCATATCAGAGCCTTTGCCCTGTACTTCTGTCTGGAACACTGAGCCCCCAGATATCCACTGGGCTAGCCACTTGTCATTCTGTAGGACTCAGCTCAAATGCCACTTCCTCCCAGAGGCCCTTGATGTTAGTTTCTGATGAAACAAATTATCACATTTGGTATCTTAAAATAACATCAGTTTACTCTTATTGTTCTGGAGGACGGAAGTCCCAAATGTTGCCACACTGGGCTAAAATAAAGACATAGACATGCAGGGCTGAATTCCTTCTGGAGGCTCGGAAGGAGAATCCATTCCTGTGCCTTTTCCGGCTCCTGGAGACCACCTACATTCCTAGGTTTATGGACCCTTCCTTCATCTTCAGAACCAGCTTAGCAGCATCTTCCAATCTCTCTCTCATTCCCACTGCCCCTCCCCCAAACTCTTTCTCTCTTTTCTTTCTTTCTTTCTCTCTTTCTTTCTTTCTTTCTTTCTTTCTTTCTTTCTTTCTTTCTTTCTTTCTTTCTTCTTTCTTTCTTTCTCTTTCTTTCTCTTTCTCTCTCTCTCTCTTCCTTCCTTCCTTTCTTTGTTTCTTTAAGATTTTATTCATTTATTTGAGAGAGAGAGACAGAGAGAGCAACAGAGATCACGAGCAGGGAGGAGAGAGATCATGACCTGAGTGGAAGGCAGACATTTAACCAACTGAGCCACCCAGGTGCCCCCTCACCCCAACTCCTTCTTATAAGGACCCTTAGGATTACAATGGTTTCACCCAGAAAATCCAGGATCATCTCACCACCGCAAGATCCTTAATCACAACCGTGAGGTCTCATTGCCATATAAACCCACATATTCCCAGGTTCCAGGGATTAGGCTGTGGACATCTTGGAGGTGCGGGTGAGGCATTATACCACCCTCCCACACCCTCCTTGACTATCTGATATAAATAGGTCCACTCCCCACAACAGTCCTCTTTCCTCCTGCTCTGTGCTCATTTTATTCATATCATAGGTAATGTATCCATCTACCTCTTTACTGTCTGCCTTCCCCTAGGAGAACGGGAGCCTTGTGAGGCAGGAAATTGTTCTTTTTTGCCTGTTGTAGTATCTCAGCATCTGAAAACTTCCTGGCACAAAATACTCACTCGATCAATATTTGTGAAGAAAATGTAAAGCAGGGGCACCTAGGTGGTTCAGTCGTTAAGCGTCTGCCTTTGGCTCAGGTCATGATCTCAGGACCCCGGGATCGAGCCCCGCATCGGGCTCCCTGCTCTGCAGGAAGCCTGCTTCTCCCTCTCCCCCTGCTTGTGTTCCCTCTCTCGCTGTCTCTCTCTCTCTCAAAAAATAAATAAAATCTTAAAAAAAAAAAGAAAGAAAAAAAGAAAGAAAATGCAAAGCAGCTTGAGTGGATCTCTGTCTCTTGCAAGTGAAATACCCCCAAAGAGCAAACACAATGGTGCAGAGGGGAGAAGTGACTTGCTCCTGGCTGCCTAGTCATTCAGTGAGTGGGGGACATCACATACGGAGCTCACTTCTCCTCAGATGCTTTATTTCTGGGACCAAATTTGGGTCATAGCTGCAGAACGAGGACAGTCTCTGGGCCTGAGGAAGGAAGCATGGGGGAGACTGAGGTGCAGCCCTCACCTTGGTCATTCTGGGAAACTCTCTCTAGGACCTGACTGGAAAGATAGGGTCAGCCCAGGGCTGGGAAGGGGGACCGTGATTCCAGGAGACTTGGGGAGGGGCTGGAGAGATTAACAACCCCAACATCCTCAGGAAGGAACAGGGGTGTGGAAAGAGTGTCACGGTTCCTGCCGGAGTGAGGACAGCAGAGGGTGGGGCACACCAGAATGCCAGGTCCTGGGATGCCTCACGAGTTGGACTGGATGGTGTCCTTGATCCACTTAGTGAATTGGCAGAGGTTGGTGTAGACGCCAGGTCTGTTGGGCTGGGCACAGGGAAAGTCTCCCCAGGACACGAGGCCCTGTAGGGAGCCATTGCAGATCACAGGCCCCCCGGAATCACCCTGTGGAGGAGAAAGGAGCTCAGAGAGGCAGAGATGTGGGGAGGTGGAGGGAGGGAGACACACAGGTGAAGAAAGGCCAGGGAGGCAAGAGATAGAGACACAGAGGTGAAAAAGTAGAGGGGTGAAGAGACACAAAGAGAGGGAGACAGAGATAAGACACACACAGAGAGAGGAAATGTTAACATTTCCCTGTAAGTCCCACTTTTAGAAGTTCCATTTGTCCTCTCCACCCAACGCCACCTCTTCCGTGTGTCTCCCTCACTGGGTCTCTCTGTCCCCATTTGTCTTTCTCTATTCCAACCTTCGAGCACTGTATTTCTCCTACTGAGCACACTTGACATGGCTTCCTTTCCCTTCCTCATTCTTGGCCGGCCCTCGGCACCAATCCATCTTGTACTTACACCTCACCTTTGCAGAGAGGCAGCTCTCTGGTCCCTGAAGGATGAGGCTTTCTCATCCTGGGCACCACTGACACTGGGGCTAGATCATTCCTCGTTGTGGCGGCCGTCCTGTGCATTGTAAGATGCTCAGCAGCATCCTTGACCTCTATGCATTAGATGCCAGTCACGGCCTTCCTCCCCCAGGCATAATTGTGATAACAAAAACTATTGCCAGGTATTGTCATATGTCCCCCGGGGGTGGGGGGGGCAGGTTGAGGACTCCTTCCTTGGGTTGTCCGTCCTTAACTCCCCAAACTCCTGCAGCTACTCTCCTATAATAATACCACTCTTTACCATCATTTCTTATGTATGTTTATGCAAGATACTAGTATCAGTTATAAAGAAATCCAGAGCCCAACTTCTTTCTGTGTTAGCAGACTCTATTTCAAGGCAAAAGAGCCTGCCTGGGTGCACCTCTAAATTTCAACTGTCTTGCGACTTAATTTTTCTCATTATATTTTGTTTAATATCCCTGCAGTTTCCTTTGAGAGGCAGTTAGTTAACTGCCCTGAGCTTGGCTCCTCGTCTGTAAAATAGAGCTATAGTAATAGTGGCTAAGTGAGTTAATGAGCCAGTGTATGTGAACCACATAAAGCAGGGCCCCGCGTTATTATTATTATAGTATTAGTGTTGTTATTACGTTTTGCTCTGAGTGGCCACACCCTGACCACATGCTGGTATGAAAAGCTAATTGAGGTCTGCAAAATGAAAAACAAGGTGCTAAACTTGGTTCCAGAAAAGCTAAATGGTTTTAAATGCTGACATTTGAGGGGCGCCTGTCTGGCTCAGTTGGTGGACCGCCCAACTCTTGATCTCAAGGTCGAGTTTGAGCCCCAGGTGGGCTCGAATAAAATAAAAATCTTTTGGGGGCACCTGGGTGGCTCAGTCATTAAGCGTCTGCCTTCGGCTCAGGTCATGATCCCAGGGTCCTGGGATGGAGCCCGGCATCGGGCTTCCTGCTCAGCGGGGAGCCTGCTTCTCCCTCTCCCACTCCCCCTGCTTGTGCTCTCTGTCTCGCTGTGTCTCTCTCCCTGTCAAATAAATAAAAATAAAATCTTTAAAAAAATAAAAATAAATTAAAATCTTTTTAAAGAATGCCGACATTCAAATTAGACGTGCTTTCTTCTGATACAAATCCCTCTGCCCATTTCTCTATCCAGATGTTCGTGTTTCCATATCGGGTGGGGACAAAGATGACATTGGGAAGTTGCTACAATCCTCTAGGTTTATAAAATTCGGGGGGGAGGAACTCTTTGCCAGCCATCGGAATGGGACAGGAGTGCCGTCTGAGGCCATAGCTTCCTTAGTAATTGCCAATATTACTGAAGTGTTCGTCCTGCCAGCAGAGAGCACCCTAATTTACATTGTTCTAGAACACTTGAGGGCCTGAATACAGGGGAAGGTCCTGATCCCTGCAACAGTTTACTTTTAATTTGTCATCCTCAACAGATAGAGCTTCCATGAGGACACAGAGAAGCTCTGTGTTGGGAATCAAGGAATATTTGTTGAACATTGGTCCCCACCCATCTCTCCAGGCTCAACTCTTACTGCGTCCACCCCCGCCAACTCAGTTCCCCAAACATTCTGGCTTTTTCTGTCCTTTGAGCCAGCCAAACTCCTCCCTGCTGCAGGGCCTTTGCACATGCTTTTCCTTCCCTTAACCTTTGCAAGGCTGGCTCCTTTATGTCATTCAGTCTCTACCCGCCTCTACCCTCTACCCACCTCCCAACCACCCTTTTGAATATTGCCCCTCATCACTCACTATCATAAAACTATGTTTTATTCTCTGCATAGTTTTTATCAGTCTCTGAAATTACCCTATTTATGCATTTTCTTGACCATTGGGGTTTTTTAAATAATTTTATTTTTTATTTTATTTTAAGTAATCTCTATACCCAATGTGGGGCTTGAACTCACAACCCTGAGATCAAGAATCGCCTGCTCTTCCAACTGAGCCAGCCAGGCACCCCAACCATTAGGGTTTTTTACCTTTTTGCCCCTCCAGCCATTCCAACAAACTTGCAGTCAAGCCTCTTTATTAAACATTCTCTTTTTTTCAAATACCTGGCAAAGGTTTTTGTTTTCCTTCCTCAAGACAGTTTACTAGCATTTGTCAGAAGACTTTTATACTATAAATTTTGTGGGGACAAGATACTTAACTGCCATCTGCCTGAAATTTGCTAAAATAGACAACACTGTGATATCTATTCCATGAAGATTGCCCCCTTAGCAGTGATATCTGTATACAGTGCACAACCTGCCCAACCATATAAAGCAGACTTGATCTCTCCCCCTAGACCAGTGCTGTCTAATATGGTAGCCACTAGTCACATGGGGCTGTAGAGTGCTTGAAACATGGCTAGCCCAAACTGAGATATGCTGTCGTGTGATGCACATTGGATCTCACAGACTTACTATTAAAAAAAAGGAATGTAACATATCTCATTTATAATTGTTTTATATTAACTACATTTTGAAATCATGCTACTTGGGATACATGGGGTTAAATAGAATTTATTATTAAGATAGTGAACTTTACCTGCTTCTTTTTCACTTTTTAAAATGTAGCTACTAGAAAATTTAAAATGACATGTATGACTCACATTATATTTCTATTGGACAGGGCTGGGTTCCCAGCACTTAGCAAGGTTTCAGATTACACAGTTGGCACTCAGGGTGTCTCTGCTGCATGAATGTAGAAGTCTTGAGCCTTACCTGGCAGGAATCTCTGCCCGCCTCATCACCAGCGCAGAACATAGTGGAATCTATCTGTCCTGGATAAGCCTCTTTACACCTGTTGGTACTTAGCACAGTGATGTTCAAGCACTGGAGGACCTTGGGGAATTTAACTGTCAGAAACACACACAAGCAGGGCCACTGTGAGCAACGGAGAAAGATGGGGAGGGGCAGTGCTCAGAGGCAGAGAGGGGGAGAAGGCAGACATGGGTGGGCATCAAGAGGGACCTAGATGCTCACCTTGGGGGCTGCTGGTTGTTCCCCAGCCAGAAACCAAGCAGCTGGTCCCAGCAGTGGGACAGTGGGAGGAGATGTTGATGGGCTTAACAGCCTGAGTCTGACGGATTCTTCTGTTCAGTTTGATGAGCATGAGGTCGTTGGAGTGGCCAGGATGGGAATAGCCAGGATGTGGGATAGATTTGATCCCTTTGAACAACTGCTGCCCAGTTTCATAAACGGGCGACAAGGAATGGTGGCCAAGACGAATTCTGTAAAATCTAAAGAAGATGGTGCAGATTACTAGCAACCCTGATCCCTATGCCCATATCCAGTGCTGAGCACACCCCAAATCTAGTCCCAACCCCGTCCTCACCCCATCCCATCCCCAACCCGAATCCTTTCCCCACACATAAACCACCACCTCTGCATTCCCAACCCTGATCTAACCACCCCAACCTCAAACCCAACCCTCCACCCCCCCAATAACTCTAATCCCAACCCCATCCTCAATGCTACATCCATTCCCACCCCAGCCCTAACCCATCCCCATGTACCTCCACCCATCTCCAATTCTCCTAATGGCATCTCTGTTCCAGACCATCAGCATACTCATGCCCAGCCCCAAATCCAACCCATTTACATCCCTGACCCTAGCCCTAATTCTTCGCCCACCCTCAAACCACCAACACGTGCATTCCCAACTCCAAATCCAGCCATCTCCAGTACCATTCGTAAAGCTAAGCCCAACCCCATCTTCAAGCCCACAGCTATTTCCAATCCCAATACCATTTTCATCTCTACCCTACCCCATCCCAAACTCTAGAGCCAGTCTGAATCACAACTCCGTTCCAAACCACTCAACATATGCACTCCTCACCCCAAATCCACCACATCTCTAACTCCCACCCCCTACCACAATCTTCTCCCCAGCCTAACCCCGCTCTCCACCCCAACTCCATCCTTGATCCCATCCCAACTGTACCCCTTTCTCATTCGCGCCGCACACTCACCTCCATGCCCCTCCCGCTCGCCCCTGCCCTGCCCAGCCCTGCTCAGCCTTGCTCTTGGAGCCCCACTCACGGCTTCCGGCAGTGGGCCGCTGTGAGCAGCCACTGCGGATTCACCAGCACGGCCCCACAGTAGAGTTGGCTGGCCGGCAGCAACAGCGCACCCTGCCACGGCTGGGCGTGCATCTCGCAGTCGGTCCCATTCACAATGCGGCTGCTGCTGCTTCCTTCGTCTGCCCTGGTGTCCTCCTGGGCCCCAGCTCCAGTGTCCCGGGTGCTTCCAGAGGACCCAGTGTCGGAGGGGTTGTTGCAGGAGGTAACATCATTTGCAAGAACAGACTCTGGGGGCCGAAAACGGGAGGGGCTTGGGATAGGGGCGGAGCTTGGGCTCAGCGGGTGGGTCTTAGATCCAAGAGGTGGGACCCTCCAGAGGTCGTCTCACCCCCGAAAGACTCTTATATTGAGGAGGGGATCGGGCTCAGGGCTTCAGGGGCGGAGCCTGGAGTCTAAGGGTGAAACCTGGAAGAGGGGCAAGGCTTAGAACTCAAGGACAGAGTCCAGGATCAGGTGGTTTACTGGACTCTGCACCTCAAGGTTCCTGGGAGTGGCTAGAGCTCAGTGGGCGGGGCCAAGGCAGGTAAAATTGTACATTCCCAGGGGCGGAGCCAAGGTTCAGGGGGCGGAACCTGGGAATGGGCCGGTGACCAGGGCCTTAGTGGTGGGACCTCGGCTCAAGAAGTGGGGTCAGGCCTCAGCGAATGAGGTCAGGGCTGGAGGGGGCAGTTTGAGAGGCCAGGGTCACGTGGGGAGATCGAGTCTATAAAGAGCCCAGACTTCGGGCAGGGAGGTAGGGGCTGGGTTCTAGGAGCTGCCTACAGGACCGGAAGTGGACCGTGGCCAAAACGGGGAGAGCCATCGAGGTGGGGCCTGGCTTGCGGGGCTGGGGGGTGCACAGCCCAAGGGGACCCTGACTGTGGATAAAATCTGGAGTAGCAGTGCAGCGGAGGAAAGGGGGGCAGAGTTAGAGCCTCTGGGCGGAGGAAGAGTTGGGGGAACAGCACCAGGAAAGTGCTCAGCTAGAGGGGCCCGATGGCGACAGGAAACAAGGTTCATTTTGAATTCTCAAACACGAACGTTCACCTCCTGAATCCTCCTGGCAATACCCTCCCCCCTACAGCCAGACAGAGATACCCACTCCATCGCCCGCCCCCCATAATCTGTGTACTTGTTCATATTCTTGCTGATGACCCACAGACGCCAAGTGCCTGGCGCACACACTCTAGGAAACACGCACACAACTGCTGTCACAGATAAGCACACACACAGTTGCATGAGAGGCACACCGTCTCCACCGGGGTAGCTACGGGCGCGGCTCCGGCTCACGGTGCACACACTTTCCAGGCAAGCGCACTAGGCAGCAGCCTCACAAGATCTCGCGCACCCATGCAGTGTCTCAGGGACGTGTGTGCATCTATGTGGAGACCAGCACAGGCTCTTCCGCACACGGGCACGTTGGCATGGTGACAACAGTACCCTCAGTAAGCCCAGCAGGGCACAGTGCAAGTGACCTAGCATCATCCATCTTCACACACCCACCACCTCATAGTGACAGACACTTCAGCACACCCAATCCCTTAAGGCAGGGATGGAAACTCCACCCACGCAGTTGCCCCATCACACAGACAGTCCCCTATAAACATGCAGTCACAATCACCCCGACATAGAACCTCAAGCGATCACACAGCCCAGATAGAGCCACACATAGTCCTGCACTCAGCGGCAATCACGCAGCCCCAAACCGTTCCTTACCGGCAAGCACCTGGCTGCGCGTTTTCACCATAACAAGCACTTTTGTTACAAGAACTCCAGATACCCTCAGTCGCACAGAGCCACACACATAGTGTGCATACAATTACTTGCACAGACATTGAGTCACACACGATCCTAAACGCACACACGCCTAGTCACACAATCACACACACAGGCTCCAAGCGAGTGCACCAGTTACAAGCAGTCACTTGATCTGGGGAAAGGCACCCCCCCAAAACACACACAGTGACAGGCACACAGCCGCACACAATCGCCCAAACATGAATACGGACTCAGACTCACAGCCACCCAGTCCTAGAGCCATACCCCACCACACAGAGGGCCCCTGGGACAAACACTCCAATGTCACTCAGAGAGTCACCCACAGCCCCACCCACAGTTAGCTGACAGGTGCACAACAGGGGTTCTGGTTACCTGTCACCCCCAGAATCAGGGCTGTGATCAGGGCACCGACCATCCACATCCAGGAGTGTCCTGCTGGAGCCATGGCCACTGCACCTTGTGGGGAGGACAAAGGGCAGGGACAAAATCCCGGGTGATTCTGGGAGCCCTTACCCTACCTCCCTTCCTTCTTTGCCCCATTTCCCAGGGCAGAAAGGAACCACAAGGACATTGCCCCCCAACCCGGAGCCTACAGACTTCAGAGGAGCAGACACCCGGCCCCCTCCAGTTGTGCAAAGAGGGAGGATAAAGAGAGAGCAGCGGTGCATCCAAGACCAGAGCCAGACGCAGACACCTCTCCCTCCCCCGGTTCTCTTCCCCGGGCCTCACCTGCCGAATCCCCCAGGTAGGGTGTGGGGAACCCACTCCCAGCTCAGCGACAGACTTCTCAGGCTTGTGCCGTCCTGCAGCCACCTCCTCCTCGGCTCTGGGCACTCAGCCTGAGTTATAACCACCCACTGATCCCCGGGGCGCATTCCCAGGTAGTGAGGCGCCCTGCCAGGCCTCAGCAATCACTCCTCCTGCTTCCCCCCACCTCCACCCCCAGAGCACCCCCCACCCAGTCCCAAAGGCCACTCCCTACTTCCCTGGCAGGAGGGAGGGTTGGAAGGGATCTCCGCAGGACTGGCCCATCCTGCCCTGAACCCCTTTCCCCCCAGCCTCAAGCTCATGCTTCTCACCAGTTCTGGGGGGGGTCTTCTTGGTGCCTGGATTTTTCTTTATTTTCTGTGTTCTTCACTCTTTCTGCCTCTCTCCGTCCCACCTTATCATCTTCCCATCTTTTTTTTTAAGCTTAATTTATTTTTTTATTTGAGAGAGAGAGAGAGAGAAAGAGAGAGAGAAAGAGACAACAAGAGAGGGAACACAAGCAGGGGGAG